ACCACCTGCTGACTGATGCCCAGCCAGTCCCCGAGCAGCGGTCACCCCTCCCCTGGCCAACTCCCCCCAGCTTTATATACTGAGCATGACGTCACATGGTATGGAATACGCCTTTGGCCAGTTTGGGTCAGCTGTCCTGGCTGTGCCCCCTCCCAGCTTCTTGTGCACCTCCAGCCTTCTCAGTCGGTAGAGCATGGGAAGCTGAAAAGTCCTTGACTAGTGTAAGCACTACTTAGCAAACAGTTAAAACATTAGAGTGTTATCAACTTTGTTCTCATTCTAAATCCAAAACACAGCACTGTACCAGCTACTAGAAAGAAAATTAACTCTATCCCAGCCGAAACCAGGACAACCAGCTTAGCTCTAGTTGTTCACACTAGAAGCCCAGTGCCAGAGATGACCAGGCCAGCTTAACCTATTGTAGTTTTTAGAAAGAATCGTCACGGATCAGCTTTTCTCTTTCTACAGAGATATCACAATTTCTTCAGCATGCTCACACTTGTGGCTTGAGCCAAAAGTATTTCAGGATAATCTAAATTAACAGGATAGTTCTGGAAGGCTTGGCAGGAAGGTCCATCCAGTCATGTAATCTGGAAAGACTGTAAATATGCAAAAGCGTCAAAAGACACAGAGTACACAGACAGGAAAACAAGTGGGTCATTGATAGGTTCCCACTAACTACTCTCTTCCCTCACTTTTCATTTACAGGGTTTCCTTCCTAAACCAGCACCTAATATAGCACTCATTTATGCTTCCATACAGCAAACTCCAAGAGAGGACACACCTTTCCTCCAATGATAAGGCCAGCTGAGAACTCATGATTCTTTCCCACTTTACGCAGAACCTTGAAGGTTTGATATGCCAGTTCCCGGGTAGGCGATATGATCAAAACTCCCAGTCCATCAGCTGAAGTCCACTGATGGCGATACAGGAGTTCCAAAGCCTGAAAAAAATTACCATATTGTCATTATAAAAATCTCAGAGGGAAAATATGTAACAAGAACAGATTTGTAACAAGAAGTGTCATAAAAAAAAGATAAAGCCACACTAATTAAAATAATGACTGGAAGAAACATCAATATATATTTCACATAGTTTGATTATATATCAATTCTAACTGATGGAAATGATACTTGCTGTAGGAAAGTTCCCCAGTACCAATCTATGAGACAGTAATGGGTGGTAAATTGTAAACATTTTACTGCACAATTAATCCTACTCTGCTAAATTCTGGAAATTAAGCCTTAATCATTTATACGAGAATAGAAATCAGATGTAGAAAAACATGAGAAACTTCCCTGCTCATAAGATTTTGTGGGAACCAGAAACAGAATAAGCAACTAGAAGAAAGTCAATTATTGCAGCTTTAATTCTGGTTATAGACTTGAAGCTGTACTATCCACACATGCTATATACAGAGCATTCCAAGTAAAGTTGCCATAAACCTCAGACCAGGATGATTCCTCCTCTTATGAATTCACACTGCAGAAACACTGTCTTAGTCAGCTAATCCTAACACAAAGACTTCATAGGTATGAATACCTGAAGCATTCTGAAATACTGAAGGTTGTTAAGCATCCTTGTACAACTAAATATTTTTTTTTTCACTCTTCATCCCTCCAGCTCCTCTCTCATCACTTTTCTCCCCTAAAACTGTTTTAAAATAAGGTTTGTAAAACAAAGTACTTCTACTTCCAGATTAACTAATTGAGCAATCTCACTTTTGTTTCTCAAGTTCACAAGACTATCTTTTGAGGCCACCTTTTTTTTCATTCTTTACTAATAAAAAATAAATTTTAAAAAAACAGCATAAAGCATAAATCTTCTCAGCTAAAGAGGGTATTCAAAACACCTACTACTGTTCCCACAGTTACTGACAGAATAGGCTCCAAAGAAATCTATGCTCACAAAAATGCAAGTAATGTTTAAACCAAAAAACGCTCCATAATCAAAACGTATCTTTTTCCCTTTATCTAATCATAACATGATGGGGTTTGTATCCACTTATATATGCACTTTAAGCAAATGTCTCAATTATACTTTCAACTTGAAGAAATGAAATGCAGAGCATGACGTTTGGAGTAAAACAGTCAAACGTACTATCCATGACAGGGGTTTTCATCCTGTTTTCCTGCTTGTACCTGGAAGTGATTTCTAAGAAGTCCACAAAAGACAACAAGGAATGGAAGTCCACAATCACTAAGCTTAAGTTTGCTACATAAAGTCCAAATCCTAAAATTTTAAAAGGGTGAAAACCACTCATCTAAAAAAGCCTAAGGAACTGAAGAAATGTCACCATTCTATTCCATACAGTTAGTTTTCAAATTTTAAAAGAATTGGACAACTAGAGTTGCACCAGGAAAACAGATTCCTGAGAGAAAAACAAAGCATTTCCTAAATCCCACAGGGTCTACTAATGTAAGGATCAAAATGGAATTTCTAATATTCCAGAATATTCCTAGGACCAAAAATATACTTCTTTCAGAACCTCAAACAGCTTTATTAAATTAGTATCTTGGCTTTCTTGGAACATTTAGGTCAGCTGAATTATAACTTTTCTCCCAGGATCTATTAACCTAAGGTGTTTGACATCCAATACTTCCCGGATAACTTGCTTTAATTACAAATGTAAGGATGTAAATTACTTACTGGGACAATAAAAGCCAAGGTTTTGCCTGATCCAGTCTTTGCAGCTCCCAGTACGTCTTTACCTTGTAAAGCCAAACCTATGGTTTGCCTCTGTATCTCCGTTACCACACGATACTGAGCTTCCTGCAATCCTAGTATTTGCAGTGTGGGAAGAGAAGAGAGAGTGTGGGAGGGGAAGGAAAAAAAAAAAAAGGAAAAAAAAAAAAAAAAAAAAAAAAAAAAAAAAAAAAAAAAAA